CAGGCTGGTCTCGAACTCCTGAGCTCAAACGATCCGCCCGCCTCGGCCTCCCAGAGTGCTAGGATTACAGGCGTGAGCCACCGCGCCCAGCCAAAGTTGAGAAATCTTGAACTAGGCAAAGACCAGTGGTGGGAGACTCAACTACTCAAGGATGGACAAAGTGCTTTGAGCAGAGAAAACTAGAAGGAACAGATCACACAGAGCTTTATAAACCCTGTTAAGGAGTTTTGATGTTTTCTTAAGAATGAAGGGAAAAACAAGGGAAGAGTTTCAAGTAGAGGAGGAGCTGGCAGGTGAGGATAGTGGTGGTGTCATATCCAGATTAAAATTTCAAAAAGGTTACTGATTGAAGTATGGTGAACAGGTTGGAAGGGAATGAAACTGGATGTGGGTAGATGAAACAGGCACCTCAGTAATTTAACTTCTTAGAAACTTCAAAGGCTGGGGAAACAAAAGGGGGTAGCGGTGAGGATGCAGGCGTAGTTGAAAAACTTCCTTCTATAAATGTTTAGTATGGGAAAAGGACAAAGAAAGAATGTGGGTATTGCTTTTCACCGAGCTCTACAGTGTGGGTAGGTGTGGGAGTGAACTATATTATGTCCTTTCAGAATTCTCTCAAGATGGAGCAGTAATCTCTAAGAATGGATGAAATCTTTTCCTTATATTAAAAAAAAAAAAAAGGGACCAAGAATATTCCTTCTTTGTCTCTGAATGCAATGTATGGTGATGTGTAAAGCACTTTATTTGTAAGAATTCAGGCAGCCAAAAATTGGAGTAATTAAATTTTAACGTGCAAGTTATAATCCACATTTATAATCAGAAGCTTAGGAATTAATAAAACCAATGACTAGCTTCACTGAGTATATTGTCAAGAGTATATTTTTTCTTTAATTATTGCATTAAAACTGAACTGGAAAATATTATTAAAAACTATTTTATTATAAAACATATCAGATATAGAAAAGAGTGAATATGATATATATTATATTATATGGTTTAAAGAATAATAAAACCAATACTCACAAACTCATCACCAAGTGGCAATTTTTTTTAAACGACAAAAATTTTCATAAATGTTTTATTCTCTAAGTGTATTTTAAGATAAAGATTTGTGTTAAAACTAAACAAAGGGCACTTCAACTAGACCCTTTTCTACCATGGGACAGTTGTACTATTAAATGAAAAAACCTCTCCCCTGTAAATAATGAATAAAAAAAATCATACATGAGTAATAATAAAAAAAAAAACGAAAACAATTTTTGGTTTTATCTCATGTTAATACCTGACAGTATTCATATTCCAGCTGAAAGTTAATTTGATTAGCCAAACAAAATGGGTCTTTTTCTTTACTGTTTTATCAAAGTGAACTCAACAATTTTGTGACATTGTCATTTAAATCATGTTAAAACTGGTTTTATTCACTTCTTAAAACTAAACCCAAAAATAAAAGGGTTGGACAGTTTAGCCCTTTTAAAATGACCTAATTTTTCTCTAATGAAGTAACAGAGGCCTGACATATTTTGTTAATATTATACCATCTTATCATACCTTATTTAATGAAATACTAAAATTTTATGTAAAATTTATATTTAAATTAAATGCAACTGTGTATCTGGCATCCAATTTTGGCCAAAAGTCACAGCATTGTACTAAAGCACCATCAAACTATAATGATACACACATGTCTTTTATATAAAAGCATTTCTTATTTCTTTGAAGGGGCTGTAGATTCAAACCCCAAAGC